GCTGCTGATGCGATTCGGATCTGGTTCTGACCCGGTTCTGATCCGGTTCTGATCTGGTTCTGACCCGGTTCTGATCTGGTTCTGATCCGGTTCTGATCCGGTTCTGATTGGGTTCTGACCTGGTTCTGACCTGGTTCTGATCCGGTTCTGATCCGGTTCTGACCCGGTTCTGATCTGGTTCTGACCCAGTGGTTCTCACCTTGTTTGACCTCTGACCCCCTCAGGCCCTCGGTTCCCACGGTAACAGCGCCGTGGAGGTGGACCGCGACACCGCGGAGAGGATGGCTCGCATCCAGGACAGTTACCGTGGTAACCGGGAGACGGTGCTGAACGAGCTGCTGCGGCGGATCTGCGACATCCAGCCGGAGTTTCACGTCAACTACCGCGTGGCCGGCTGAGGGGGCGGAGCTTCCGGCTGCCTTGAGGGGAGGGGCTTAGTTTTGCTGTTCCTGTGATGTTTACAAAGTGTTTATATTTCAAAATAAAGTTTGTTTCTTCTGGAATTTGACAAAATAAAAGTCTGGCAATCCAGCCAATCATGTGACAGCATCACCTGATATGAACACCTGATTGGCTGGAGAAGACGCTCTTATTGTGAAACTGTGGTATTTCAACAATGTTTTCCTGTTTGTGACCATGTGACTTCCTGTTGATTGTGATGATGGAACATTAAAGTGAATCTGATTGGCTGAAAGTGCGTCATGAGGTTCTCCAGCTTTCTAGTTTCTAGTTTCTGGTCCTGATTGTTGGGAAGACTTCAGCAGGATCTAAGCTGGCAGCAATCGCCTCAGAGTGTCCGGTCAGAACAACTATTAGCTTTATGTGGATGCGGAACAGATCAGGAAGGGTCCAGTTCCATTTTTACTCTTTATATATCTTTGCCAGAATGTACATGAAGCAGGTATATATGTAAATGTGTGTGTGGTTCTGTAAACAAACAGAATAATCCAAGCCAGTTCGAACCACAGTTACAACGGTAATAAAGCAAAGCTGTAAATACACTATACAGCTAAACAAATTGGCACATTACCTCTCTAACAGAAACATAATGGCATGAATGACAAAAAACTTACAGGTTTATGAACACACAGTCATTCGGCTGCTTCTTTGCTGCCTTTCTCTCTCTGGGGTTACCGAGCTCCACACCTGTGTTGCGTTCAGGGTGCATAGGAACTCTCCTACACAACCATACCCTTTTCTACACTGATAGTCCAGGAGTCGGCAACCCAAAATGTCAAAAGAGCCATATTGGACCTAAAAAACAAATCTGTCTGGAGCCGCAAAAAATTATAAGACTTATAATGAAGGCAGGCAGGCCTTCATTTATATTAGCTTATTATCAAAACGACTAAGTCCATCCATCCATCTTATCTGGGGTCGGGTCGTGGGGGCAGCAGCTTCAGAACGGAGGCCCAGACTTCCCTCTCCAGCC